GAGACCTGCATTGCCATTTTAGAGGGTTGTTTGATTTTTTTTTTTTATTCTGTTGCTCAGAGATTGCATAGTCAATAGTTTGGGTTAGTTGGGTGAAGAATCAAATAGAAACATTTCTTTGTAATAGAAGTACAAACTTACAAATGCAGGGATCATCCCTTAACAACTCAGCTACAGTTGGAAAGTTTGAGGAGAGCTGTCTAGCTTACCTGCTTCTGTAGTTGATCCAGAGTGGTTCAAGTGATACAATAAGGCGTGCATAAATCCCTTAAGAACAAAATATGTTAGAGCAACGTAAGGAAGCTTTTTAGCTTGGTCGTCCTTCACTCAAACCTGCTTCCTCTTACGAGAGTCAAGTTGTTACACCTGTCCATTTGCCTACTGGGAATTCCTGCTCGTCTGGGTTGGGAGGGACATCTGGAAGTAGTCGTCGAACTGCTTCCCCCTTCAATTCCATAGCCTGTTAATAAATTATAATTATTCTTACACCACATCCTACATTTATGTCCAGCACTGCAACTGAAAGAGGAAAGAGGAATCAGATATATAAACCCACTGCAGTTATGCAGCAGCTGTTTCTGTAATCATCACAGCAGCAGGACCAAAGTCAAAGCAGTCCTGCTTGAATCTGTTGGGAACCAGCGTAGCAGCTCCAGAACTGTTGGTGTAAACACCTTCCTCTAGCATGACATCAGACCAGGGATAAACTTGAGAGCCTTTTTTTTTTTCACTTTATGATATAGGACCAATTCTTCCATTGCCAGGTTTATAATGGAATACAGGCCACTCTGAGTTCAAAACAGATTTGCTAACAATGGTTGGATGCTGTGTGGCTAAGTGTAACTGAGCGCTAAGAATAAACCAGCAGACTAGACAAGATGTAGAAGCTTATCCATGATACGTGGCTGTTAAGCATCCAGATACTTCTGTTGCAGCTTCATCACTCGCTGCTAGGAAACAGCACCACTAATTTCTTCAAACTGCTGGTGATGAATAATCTACCATAAAAATGGGAGAAATTCCTTGGTCCTTGCACAATCAGCTAATTGGAACAAACACTCACAGGGTGGAATAAATGAGTAAATATTTCCTTGTCAAGCTGGCAGGAAAACATACAAAATGAGGAATTCCTCCCCCATGACTGACTGCAAAACACCTAGCTTTCTCACACAAGGTTGTGCTGAAACAGATTTTTTTTTTTTTCTCTGCTGCAGTTCCTCTTGTGTCCACTGGGGAAGTCTGCTGCTCTGTATCAGAGTAAGATAGCCTGACATCTATATATTTTTATGTAATAGCAAGAAAGGCATTTTGACCTTGTAAGCAGAGAATCCTAGCTTTTCTTTTTGCTAGCATCTCTGGACTGTTGTTTTCCTAATTTTATTCACAGTCTAGCCCAACTTCTTCAGACTCCCTTCAGCTTCACTGGGAGTTGAGAATGGAAATAATTTAATTGCTCAATCAAGTAACAACTGACTGTCCTCAAATGTTCTGCATGTGCTTAAGTGATTTGAGTAAGATCATGCTCCAGTAGTTTAAAATATGTGAAAATAACCTTTGAAAGCAATCAGTCAGACTCAAAGTCTTATATGTAGAAATTAGTAAATGGAACCAGGCCCCTGGCTTGTTGAATTGCTTTCTTAGCTCTTCTGACTCTAGCT